TCTCTCCTGGGCAAGTAGATTGAAATATATCTGAGTTTCTTCCCTCCAGGAAGAAGTAGAGAGTAAGGATCCGACTTAGTTTTTGGGGACAGACATCCCATAAAGAGACAACTGGGAAAGGGGTATTACTTGGGCAGACTGTTTAAACAGTACGGTGGCATATGCCAGACAATGCCCACTGTATTTGCTGGGGAGATCAACCCAGCTGGCATGATCTTTTGGAGTTGGTGATTGTGCCTGCAACTTGGAAAGCAGCTGACAAGAGAGAGAACTCCAGTGTGAAAAGTTTTCAGGCAGGTTTTGGATTTGGGCAGGGGGGGGGATATAGTGTTGGCAGCTGGAATCTCGCACTGAAAGGGGCTTTCTCATCACCTGGAGGACTTGCTCCTACAAGTCATGCATGATGCTAGAGAAACTAAGATCCTGTTTCTGATCTCTTCCTCTCTTGCTGCTTACTGTATGTAAGCACTTTTTTTTTTTTTTTTTTTTTTAAATTGTAAGGGGGGGGCAAGCCCCCCGGTCTGCTTCTGGAGGGTGATCCTGAGCTGCTTCTGTAGAGGTCACTTTTTGTGTCTGTGCGCGAGCTGGTCCCTGGTGTTTGTGTCTAGCATATGCATGTGGTTTTGCTGACTGCACTTGCAGGCTTGTAAATTTTCACCATGGGAAATTACCAACAAAGCCCAATCTGTCTCCTGGCTGCTTTGCACTTTCTGAGGGCGGCTGTACTTGAGTGAGCTGCAGAACGAGAGGGAGAGGGGGAGTGGGGGAAAGAGGGAGAGAAGAGAGGAAGGGTGGGTGGAGAGGGAAGAGAGGTAAATAGCCTTGAATCGGAAGGGAGTTGCTTCTCTGTGGTCTTCCACAAGAGCTGCCTGGGCTGTGCTGGCTCAGTAATAACTGAGTGACCTTTTCTTTTGCTGTATTATGTCTGGCTGGTAAGGGATTGCATTTTGCAGCTGTTAAAGCCCTGACTTCATTCAACTCGGCTTCTCACACGCTGCTTTAGGTAAGTTGTCTTCAGCCAGGACGGGGAGACACAGCCTTGGACTGCAAGATACTAAAAGGAGGACACCTGTAGCTCGGACGCGGTCAACACAATTACTTGGCGGATCCTTGAGGACCTCATTATTTTAAACTTAAAGAATAGCCATCTCCCCCCGTCTCTCCCACCCCCTTTCTTCTTTTTTTTTTCTTCTTTTTTTTTCCCCCAAACAATGCTTCTTTTTGACCTTTCCCAAGGAGAAGAGCTACAAAGCAGCCACTGTGCTTATTGAACTGCCTCCCCTTGTATCGCTTAATTGAGAAGGTAAGTGAGGCAAGTGGGTGCAGGAAGGAGCTTTGGATGGGGGCTGTGTGTGTGTGTGTGTGTGTGTGTTTCTTCTAACGAGGGATAAATTGGGGCTGGAGCTTGGGGCTGAGGGGGGTCTGCTTGTAACGAGTCAAACTGGGGCTGGAGGGGTGTGTGCGCGCGCGTGTAACGAGTCACAAACTGAGGCTGCAATACCCTCTCCTTCGCTCATCCCTGGGCTGCAACTTTCACGCAGGCTGCAGCTCTGCTGAGCCTGTTTTTTTTTTTTGGGGGGGGGGGGGGGGGGGGGGGGGTTGTTTGTTTGTTTGTTTGTTTGTTTGTTTCAATCATGTGAAGCTTCGTTATTTTGATGATGAGACCATGTTATAGAGGCGAGCCTCCTCCAGCTGCCCATCTGGAGAAATCGCTGACAAAGTTAACAATGAACTGCAGCAAAAATCCCACCTCTTCTTCCCCCCCAGCTTCTTGAAATGTACTCTCAGTTATCAAGGAAATGGGTTTAACCCCCCACCCCCTTTGCACGAATCCAAAAACTCCCTTTTATAGCAGCTTAATTTGCATCTGGGGCTGCATTGAGGGGTTAACCCTTTAGCTGGGTCCAGCAATGAGCCGGATGCTTGAATTGTTGTGTGTTTGTTGGCTCCTTAAGCAATGGGAGGGGAGGGGGCAGGGGCATGCAAAGTCCAGCTGGACTTTCTTCTTGGGGGATCGGAGAGTGTGTGTGTGTGTGTACATTGGGTTAGGGGGTAGGGAAGTCAGGTTCGTGTTATGAAAATGTGTGCGTACACATGGGCTGGGGGGTGTAAAGAAGGCAGATTGGTGTTATGAAACTGTCTGTGTACACATGGGCTGGGGGGGCAGGGCAGCCAGGTTGGTGTTATGAAATAGTAGTCCTATTTATGATCTCTTTCATATTGAACATGATATGGTATGCTAACGCTGCATGTGACAGTTTAATCAAATCCATTTGTTACAACGGAGCTAAAAGACACCGCTGGGATTATAGGATTACGGGCAGAGTTAGGCAAGCATGTGGCTTTGTCATTCGCCATCATTTTTTTTTTTTTTTTGCACTGTTACATTGCAAGGGGCTCGGTTTGTGTGCGTGTGTATCCTCCACCAGCCCTCCACCCCCCTGCTCCCCCCACCCCTGCCTCCAAAGTGCCTGCACAATAGCCCCGCTCCCGCGGGCCC